GAAATGTAAAGGTAGAAGTTTTGTAGCAAGGAGGGGAGTGATTAAATTTGCAGTCTAGGAGTGGAGGTCCCTGGGACCATCAAGGGAGAAGAGTGGAGTGTGGGACCCTACCCAGAGAAGCAGTGACACCAGAGATGGAGGCAGAGATGATAACGTGGAGAGATGGAGCAGTTGGGGACTTTAGACCCAGAGAGGGAGAGGGGCTGTGTGCTGACGACTTGAGGGCAGGCTTGTAGGGTAGACACTTTGGTTGGCTGATGATGCATGGAGGGGATTGTAACCATGGCAATGAAATGATGTATGATAGGATGAATGTAAAACTAATGTTCTCCCATGTAAACTATTACATAATTCCCACTAAAACATTAAAGAAAAAAAAAAAAAGATAATGGAATTTTTTGAAGCCCCCTCATATTCTGCATAACAACAAAATAAGTAAAATTTGCTGCTGTTGCTGCTGCTAATGCTGTATAATTTGTTCCAACTCATAGCAAACCTATATAGGGTTTCTGAGGTATTCTGGGCACTGCCAACCTTGCAGTTCAAAGTGACCTTGCAGTCCAGTGCAGTAGTCCACAGTGCCTGCCACACCAGAACTCAAAAGGGAAGAAAGCAGCTGAGTGATTATTTAATTTCTTTAAGCAATTATCTGGGCCTGGGGCATTCTGAATAATGTCTCCATTCTCCCTACAAGAACCCTACCTCCTCCTCCTCATTTGGGTGCTCTTATTCCATGGAGTCCTGGTGTGGCACTACAGTTAATGCACTGACTGCAAAGTTGGTTTGAACCATAAGGTCAGCAGCTCAAGTTCACCAGTCACTCCTCTTAAACCCTATGCAGGGTCGCTATGAGTTGGAATTGACTCAATGGCACTTAAAAACGACATCATAACACTGTAGGATGACTAGTGAACTGCTAACCACAAGGTCAGCAGTTCAAATCTATGAGCCACTCCTCAGAAACCCTTTACAGGGTCCCTATGAGTCGGAACCAACTCGTAGGCACTTAATAACGTAAGAAAACATTTATGCAAAATCATTATTTTTCCTCAGTAACTTTACACAGAAAATGTACTAAATCCACAAGGTAGCCTTTGTGCAGGGTTTTTAATACAAAAGTTTCTAATGTTATCTGCTTCTTTCTTCAGAAAGCATGATAAAAGAAAAACACTGTTCAGGGAGATTAAAGAATGATTCCTATTGAAATTTCACAAGAGATGAGTCCTCTCATTCTACAAGACCCTGTCTGTTAGTTGAATTATTGAAGAATGAATTCTTGGTCTCATGGGACAGTTTTGAGCCTTCAGTAGCTGGAGGTTTGCTTACCGCTTGGGCAAAGCTTCTAAGGATGCCAAAACAAGCTGTTTCTCCAAAGCTTTGTGTAATCCCACTCGATCCCTCACAGTCTGGGAGAGTCGTGGTTGGCATTTGGATTTCAACAATCTAGAGCAGCATGTTCCACTCACCCACGGGGGTCGAGCTTTGAATAACTCCTCTGAAAAACAAACCGCGGCAGGCTCAGCTGTTTACCTCACACTTGTGTCAGTCAAGGCTAAGTAGATAAAGGCATCAGAAAGAAAGCTGTACCACGGAAGTGTTCCGAATGTCAATAATTATAGCCCTCTTCACGGTGTCTGGTGGGATTTCTTAGCCTCTTAACACTGTGGTTGAAAGTTACCAGTCATTTCAGGTCAGGAAAAACAAAACTCAAAGAACAAACAACTCTTGGATTTATAGCCTTCACTGCCTTTCCCACCTTTATTCTTGGCTGTAAGTAGTTTCCTACTTGTTCCAATCTCACCAGAGAGTGAGTCAGTGAAAAAGAACAAAAAACAAAAAAGGATGGGAGAACTCCTACTGGTTTTGTTGTTGACTTTCATCCATTGTGAAAATCAGAAGGCCTAGCTGAAAATGTGCGTTGTGTCTACTCCTTGTCTACTTCCATTCCCATTTTTATTTTTCTCCTTTTTCATCTGTCCCACTTCTGCACTGAACCCCTATTAATTTGTCTTTGTGTTCTTACTTCTCTCCACTCCTCGGTTTTAGTGTTAATAAACCTGAGACGAATTGGGACCGCAGTGATATTTGACCTTATATGAGGGGGCTTCAAAAAGTTTATGGAAGAATGGATTCGTTCTCAGTCAGCTTGAAATATATACTGAAGTGGGGCAAGCAGGAAAGAGTTTTTCGTGAGATACTTTAAGCAGGTCCCAAATTAAAAGACCAAAGCCTACTACCATGGTGTCAATTCTGACTCATAGTGACCCTGTGAATGGTTTTGGAGCTGTAAATCTTTACAGGATCAGAAAGCCTTCTCTTTCTCCCTTGGATCTGAGCTGTGAACCTTTCGGTTAGCAATCAGATGTTTATCTTAAACAGTTCTTGTTGTTGTTGTTATTAAGTGCCGTCGAGTCGGTTCCTACCCATAGCGCCCCTGTACAGGGTTTCCGAAGGTGTAAATCTCTACGGGAGAGGAAAGCCTCCTCTTTCTCCCACAGAGCGGCTGGTAGTTTCGAACCGCTGACCTTAAGGCTCGCAGCCCGATTCGTAACCACTACGCTACCAGAGCTCCCCACATGATATTCCAAACAATAGCACTAACCTCTGTGAGAATTGGTATATGAATCTATTTGTTTCTACAATACTTGGATCAGATACAGTCTTTAAATACTACTCACTTTTGTTTAGTGCAATTTTCTCCCAAGTCATTTTTCTTAGACACTTTTCTCGTTGTCTTTCCTGCAGCTCATCATCTCCTGCTTTGGGTTCATTCAGGGTTCCATAGATAGCAGTGGCTTCCCTTGGTGTTAGCCAGTCTAAATGGGACACACACGCAATGTAATGGTGCTTCCAAGCACCATACTCATTGTCTGTTGGCATATAGGGCAGATACCAGCCAAACTTCATGCATTTGGGTCTCCATAAGCAATCCTTCAGAAAAGGGACCAAGAGAAGTATGAGTTGCAAACTCATTTAGAAAGATTTTTCTAGTAATAAGTTTTCAAGTACACGGGTTTTCCTTTTGTCACATTGAGGTATCTGACAAGTCATCTAAATGTGACCCTGAGAAGAAAAGAAGCATATATGACTCCATAGGAAAAATATTCTTGAGGAACATTATATATAATCTTTCCGATTTTCTCATTCATCTTCAACACTTGTCTGAATGTTCTCATAGCATTTGATTATTTTCATTTCTGATTCTAAGAAGCCTGCTTCTGGCATGGGTGTAGTAGTTTTTTCTAACCAACTCTCCCACTGAGAATAACTTTGACTAAGATATTGCTGATATGCAATCCTTTTTGACATATAAAAACAGAAAATGTCATATGATTCACTGTAATCAAATATCTAGACAAAATATTACAAAAACAACTATTTGAAGGCATTATAGAGTTACCAAGTCAAAAAGGACTTAGACAATCAAGGTCCCAGAAGGAAGGGAAAACCAGTGAAGTAAGTAAGCCTGATATTCTGCATCTTTTTTTCCTTCAGGGCAGTTCCAGAATAAAGTTTCTTAGGCTGAGAAGCAGAGTAGAAAGTTGTTGCTGAAAGACTTTTTCTCTTCAGGGTAAGTTAACTACATTTCAGCAATCGTCTTCAGGGAAGAGAGCTCCCCCAGTTGTCTCATTACAGATCACAGTTGTATATTTGTGTTTTGCAGCTAGGTAATGACAAGTACTAAACCTGTTCAGTCAGGAACTTCCAGGGCCAGCTGACTTGTGCAGCTGCACACAAATCTTTTGGATTGAGAAAGGAAAAAATATAGAGAGAGATGAAGCGTGGTAACACTGTAGAGAAATCCACTTTGTTCACTTGCATCCTTTGTGAAAACCAGTCTTGGACAAACCTAAAAAGAAAGATCCAGAGCATTAGTCTCTAATGACTGCAAACCCAAAATAAGGATCACTTTACTTTTCTACCTGTAAACAACTGCTAAGTCCTAAATAACATTAAGTCCTAGATAATATAACATACATCTGTCCGTCAGTTTGTTGTACTGTGGTGGCTTGTGTGCTGCTGTGAAACTGGAAGCTATGACAACAGTATTTTAAATGCCAGTAGGGCCATCTTTGCTGGGCAGTTTCAGCAATGCTTCCAGATTAAGAGACTGGGAAGAAGGAAAGGCAGTTCAAACTCACCAGTCACTCTTCAGAAACCCTATACAGGGTCTCTATGAGTCAGAGCCGACTCAACCAAGGGCACTTAACAAAAACAATCTATAGTATCGTGTCACCTAAAGATGGACTTCTGGTGTGGTGCTGTAGGATCAGCACTAGATTTCAAACCCACCAGTTGCTCCTCGGAAACCCTATACAAGGTCGCTGTGAGTCAGAACCAGCTTGATAGCACTAAAACAACAACAAAGGTAACTTAGAAAATGACATTAAATGAACCTCCAACTACCAGGGCTAGAATGAGAAGAAACAGATTCATACATATGGTGCCCCTTTAGGAGGCTTGGCAGAGAGTTGAGGAGCCCTGGTGGCACAATGGATGTTGTTGTTGTTGTTAAGTGCCATCGAGTCAGTCCGGACCCATAGTGACCCTGTATAGGGTTTCTAACTAATGGCTGGTGATCTTGAATAGCGGATCTTGCCGTTCAAACCAGCTTTGCAGTCCAGCGCATTCATTAACCCACAGCGCCACACCAGGACTCTGGTGCAATGGGTAAGTGCTGCTAAATGGAACTCACTCAGCGGCTCCGCAGGAGACAGACATGGTGAGCTCTTCCATAACTGTTACAGTTTAGACAACCCTGTGAGTCAAAAGCAACTGGACAACACCAAGCAACAACAGTAGCAACTGCAGCTGTCTCAACAGATCTGGGCAACCTCAATGAAAACAATTGTAGAGTTTGGAGAGGCTCCATTCTAATAAGGCAATTCCCAAGCTAAGGGTTCCCCGATATTCCAGAGTCCTATACATGCTCCTACCCCTCCAGCTCTTTAAGTGTATCCAGTATCATGAAAGAGCGATTCTTCTCTACTCACATTCACACATTGGAAGGGAATTCAATCCTTTTAGTGACATGAAGCCTATCATTTGTGGAATGTAGGACTGATGATCTATTCTGTAAACCACACAGTTCACAATTTAAAAAAAGACATGAAAGAAAAAGACCAAAATGGATGCCAGAAGAGAATCTGAAACTTGTTCCTAAACACAGAGTAGCTTAAGCAAATGGAAGAAATGATCAAGTAAAAGACGTGAACAGAAAATTTCAAGGGGTAATTTGAGAACACAAAATGTTATAATGAAATATGCACAGACTTGGAGTTAGAAAATCAAAGGGAAGAAAACATCCCTAGCTGAAGGAATTAAAGAAAAATAATAGTAAACCAAGCCTTGAGTTACAATATTAAAGGAATCTCTGGGCAAAAAAATTGAATAATGTAGGAAGCAACACAAGAAGATGGAAAGAATGCACAGAGTAACTGTATCACAGAAAGTTGGCTGACATTCAAACATTTCAGGAGTTAGTATCTAATCAAGAACTGATGGTACTGAAAGCAGATGACTAAGCTGTACTCAACACTTCAGTGGAAAAGAAGATTCTAGGAGTTGATAGAATGCCAGCCGACTGTGACACTGGAAGCACTTGCTTTTCTATGCCGAGGAATTTGGAACATCGCCATGTTGTCCCCGAGCAGAGGAGATCTATATTTGTGCCCATTCCAAACAAAGATCAACTGGAATATGGAACTTACAGGATAGTATCACTAATATCTCAGACAAGTACAATTTTGCTGAAGATGATTTAAAAACAGCTGTAGCAGTGCCTGGACAATGAACTGCCAGAAAGTTAAGCTGACTCAGAAGAAGACATGGAATGAGGGATTTAATTATTGATATCAAAAAGAGTCCTGGTGTGGCACTGTGGGTTAATGCACTGGACTGCAACGTTAGTCTGAATCACAAGGTTGGTAGTTCAAGCTCACCAGCCACTCCTTGGAAACCCTATTCAAGGTCATTATGGGTCAGAACCTGGACAGTGAATAAGGAAGATCGTAGAAGAATTGATGCCTTTGAGTTGTGGCGTTGGAGGAAAATACTGAAAGTGCCATGGACTGCCAGCATCCAGAGTGCTCCTTGGAAGCCAGGATGGCTAAGCTTCATCTCTCATACTTTGGACATATTGTCCGGAGGAAATAGTCGCTGGAGAAGGATGTCATGCTGAGTAAGGTGGAGGGTCAGAGAAAAAGAGGAAGACCCCCAACGAGATGGATCAGCCAGGTGGCATCATTGATGGCGTCAAGTGTAGCAGCGGTAGTGAGGTTGGCCCAGGATCAGACATTGTTTCGTTCTGCTGTGCATAGGGTCGCTATGAGTCGGTTCTGACTCCATGGCACCTGACAACAACAACAACAACAACAATGGGTCAGAACCAACTCGACGGCATTTAACAACACCAACAACAATCAAAAGGATATTGACTGAAAGCAGAGACTATGAGAAAGATGTTTACCTGTGGATTCTTGATTATGCAAAGACATTTGACTGTAGGCATTATAACAAATTATGGACAACATTGTGAAGAATGAGAATTCTAGAATACTTAATTGTGTTCATGTGAAGTCTGTGCCTAGACCAAGAGGCTTAAATTGTTTGAATACAACAAGGGGATAGATCCTGGTGTAAAATCAGAAAAAAATGTGCAGTGGGGTTGTATCCTTTCACCATACTTATTCAGTCTGTATGCTGAGCAAATAATCTGAAAAGCTGAAGAAGGATGTAGCATCAAGATTAGAGAAAGACTCACTAGCATCCTACACTATGCAGATGACACACAACCTTGCAAGGAGGGCTTGAAGCACTGACAGATGAAGATCAAAGACTACAGTTGTCAGTATAAAGAAAACAAAAATCCTCACAACTAGACCAATAAGCAATACCATGATAATTGGAGAAAAGATTGACATTGACAAGGATTTCATTTTATTTGAACCAACAATCAAGACCCATGGAATCAGCAGTCACGAAATCAAATGCGTTACATTAGGCAAATCTTCTACAAAAGAAATCTTAAAAAGCAAAGATAATCACCAACTTCTCCCTCATAGATGATGAGAGGGATTTAAGCCTGTTTTTTTTCTATCACAGATTTATTCAACAAGTACTTGGAGGTCAATTATATTCCAGGAGTTGTCGTAGAGGGTGTGGTGCCTTAAATTCCTTGATGTGACTTTTCTATCCAAAGTCTTCTTAATTCTCACCAAGGAATTACATGAGACCATGCAAATAAAGCATAGAGGACTCTAAGGCTGGGATTGGGTAGTTTTGCCTTCCAGCTAGGCTTAAAAGGAGTCAACTCAGAAGCAGAGATAGGAGATCCCAAGACTACCAAGAAGAGGCTGAGTTACACGTGAGATCCTTACCTAGGAAAACAGCGACAGCAGAGGTGATGGTATAGAGACACAGAGCAGCTTCAGGCTCTAGGCCTATGGACTGAGGAAAGTTGAGTACCTACAATAGGCAGGGGACTGGCTTGAAGAATGTGCCCTTTGGGCATTCACAGACTGGCTAAAAGAACTTTGTAACAGGTGCTTGTGCAGTTCACAGTATTTGCCTCTAGTCACTGTAACTTTGTAAATCTCCCCTCTGTTTCTTCCACTATGCCCATCTTTTCCTGTGCCAGCCTATCTCTTGTTATATACTGCCTTCCCCATCAGTCAAATAAACATGTGTTTATTTGTTAATAACAAATACCCTCTATCCAGTGAATAAACTTCCCTTCCCTTCCTCCCCCTGGTAACCATCAGAGAATGTTTCTGCAATAAAATCTCTTGTAAACTTTTTAAACAGTGGTCTCAAACAATATTTGTCCTTTTGTGACTGATGACTTTAACTAAGCATCATGTCCTGATGTAGAGCTGTAGGATAAACACTAGACCAGAATTGGTTTGAATCGCAAGGTCGACAGTTTAGATTCACCAGCCATTCCTCAGAAACCCTATAAAGAATCACTACGAGTAGAAATTGAATCAACAGCACTTAACAACAACAAATGTTCTCCAGGTTCATCATTCTTCCTCAGTGTTAATGTAGTATTCCATTGTGTGTATGTACCAAAGTTTGTATCCATTCTGCTAGTCTCTGTCTCTCAACTAGTGTATTAATCCATTTACATTCAGTGTAATATTTAAGTATTGATTACTATAATTTTTCTGTGTGGCTTTTTGTGTGTGTGTGTGTGTGTGGCATTGCTAGTTTCTTTGTTCCACAAAAATTTCTGCACTGAGTTAATTTTGTTTGCAAGTTTCTTTTGATTTTCTTCATTGGTATTGTTTTAATGGTTACTAAATCTGACTTTCCTCTTTTTTATTTTAATGTGAAAGTTTGTGAATTTTCTTTGAGATTTCCCTGTAATTTATAAATTTTCTCCCATTTAAGACAGTCTGGTTTATCTTAAAATCTACTTGACTTCCTTGCCATTTGGAAGTTCTGTATCTACACTATTCCTTTTTTTGCTTTGTAGTTGACTTAATTATAAATCGATATCTCTGGTTCCCTATTTTCAGTCTTGTCATTTTGTTTTATTTTAACTACATCTCTCTCTGGATTGGAGTCCTGGTGTGGTGCTGTGGGTTAATGTGCTGGACCACAAATTCAGTGGTGTATGTGGTGCCCACTGTGGTGATGGTGGTTATGTGCTGTGGAGTCAGTTCCGACTCATAGCGACCCTGTACAGAGTTTCCGAGACTGTAACAGACAGAAGTGTCATTTGGGGATTTTTTTTCAGTCTTGATGGGAAAAAATTATGTAATAACAATAATAATCACCCTTTCCTTATATAGAGATGAACATTCAAACGGAACCAGACTGTAACCACATCCACTCATTGCTGAC